CTCACTATTCTACATCAAATGATAGTGAAGGTTTTGGTCAACACAACATAATTAGCAGGGCTAACTCTGTTGCATCTCATCTCTTCGAGAATGCTGAGCCCTCAGATACTCTACATTTTGCCTTGAATATAAACTGCCATCTCCATAATAAATGGATCTTAGACACTGGTGCTACAGATCATATAATCTGCTCTCCCAGATACTTTTTCTGCATATAAACCTGTTTCCAACATTTTTGTGCATATGCCTAATGGGAGCAAGGTTTCTGTTGAAGGAATTGGAACTGTTCAGTACTCAGAACACTTGGTTTTACATGATTTTCTTCTTGTACCATCATTCAGTTTCAACTTAGTGTCTGTAAGCAAATTAGTTCGAAGTACAACTATTTGCTTATGGTTTCATTATTCACTATGTTTCATACAGGCCTACCCCAGTTTGAAAATGATTGGAACAACTAGCCTGATGGAATTACTGTACATTCTACATAGTCCATCTCAAACTAATCAACTATAACAGAATCTGATCCTCAACACTACTCAGGCATCAACACACAGAGTTGCTTTTTCATCTCAGAAGTCCATCGATATATGACACTATAGACTTGGTCACATACCAAACTGTAAACTCAAGCAACTGAAGAACATAGATAGTAATGTTTCATTTCTTTCTGATTCTCATTGTACTGTATGCCCTCAAGCAAAATAGAAGAGGCTTCCCTTTCCTACCAGTACAAATACAACTAAGAGTGCTTTTGACATCATACATGTTGATATATGGGGCAATGCTCTTGTTAAATCTTTTCAAGGTCATTCCTACTTTCTAACTATAGTTGATGTTTTCACCAGACACACTTTGATTTTCACAATGAAAAACAAGTCAGAAGCTCGACCAATAATCATATCATTTTTTGCTTTTGTGGAAACACAGTTTCATTCCCAAATCAAAGTCATTAGAACATACAATGGTCTTGAATTTCAGATTCCATAATTTTACAATTCCAAAGGAACAATTCATCAAACCACAAGTGTCTATACATCTCAACAAAATGGCATTGTTGAAAGAAAACACCAGCATATTTTGGCTGTTACAAGAGCACTACTATTTCAAGCTTCATTACCTTCCCAATTATGGAATTATGCAGCTATGCATGTTGTTCATTTGATTAACAGAACCCCTTCTGCTATCATAAACAACATCACTCCATTTCAAAAATTACATGGTGTCCTCCCCACACTCAATCACTTACGAGTGTTTGGCTGTCTCACATATGCTGCCACCATTCAGGCCACAAGGACAAAACTTGATCCAAGGGCACATCCATGCATCTTTTTAGGTCATCCTCATGGAACTAAAGGTTATCGTTTATACAACCTCATCACACATAACATTCTCACATAAAGAGATGTTTCATTCCATGAAACCATCTTCCCATTTAATTCCCAAAATCAAATTATATGAACAACTCAGTTTCTCTACCAGTTTTTCCAGCACACACTAGCTCCTCCCCACCAGCAACTTTACCATATATTCCCCAGTCTATAACACTATCAGACCATTCTCCTACTGTCCCCCCCCCCCCCCCACCCACCAACAACTTCCACAACTAATGATCCTCCATTACCAAGGAGATACACAAGACAAATAGTCAAACCTGCTAGACTTAAGGATTACAAGTGTAACCTTATCAGTCAAGCCAGTCTCCTTTCCAAAACCACATATCCAATTCAGGGACATCTATCTTACAGTTCCCTCGGTACTAACCACAGGAGGTTTGCTCTAGCTATCACTCAAACTAGAGAACCAACTATCTACAAAGAGGCATCCAAATCAAAGGAATGGCTACAAGCAGTCAATTTAGAGTTTGCTTCCCTTGAGAAAACAAAAACCTGGGTCATAGTTGATCCTCCTCCCAATGTCCCAATCATTGGCAATAAATGGGTTTTTCGACTCAAATTCAAACAAGATGGCACCATTGATAAATATAAAGCCAGGCTGGTTGCCAAAGGCTACACCCAAACACCCGGAGTCGATTATTTAGACACTTTTTTTCCTGTTGTTAAGATGACAACAATTAGAGTTCTTCTAGCCTTGGCTGCAATATATAACTGGCATCTAAAACAGCTAGATGTTAACAGAGCTTTTCTTCATTGAGATTTTCATGAAGAGGTCTACATGAAGTTACCTCCTGGATTAAAAGTGAGTCCTGCTGAACAACATAAAGTCTGCAAACTTACCAAATCCCTCTATGGTTTAAAACAAGCTAGCCGACAATGGTTTGAAAAGCTTGCTGCTACTTTATAACAACTAGGTTATCAAAAATCACATAGTGATTACTCACTTTTTACTAAACACAGTGGTACTTCATTCACTGCTCTTCTAGTCTATGTTGACGACATAATCCTAACAGGCAATGATATGCCAGAAATCAAACATGTCAAACATCAGTTGGATGTTGCTTTCACTATTAAAGACCTTGGACCCTTGAAATACTTCTTAGGAATGGAGGTTTCCAGGTCTGAAACAGGCATTCACTCGTGCCAAAGGAAATATATTCTTGACCTCCTTTCTGACACAGGATTCCTAGGTTCTAAGCCAGCTACTACTCCATCAATTCCTGCAACACACCTTTCTGCAAATGATGGAACTTTACTCAATGCAACTGATCATAGTAATTACAGGACAGTGATTGCTATATTCCAATATCTATGCAATACTCTTCCTGATATATGCTATACAGTAAATCAATTAAGCCAATATGTTGATTATCCCTCTACACTTCATGAACTAGCTACTCATCGACTTCTTCGCTACCTAAAAACAACACCAGCAAAAAGGCTTTTCTTTCCCAGCGATTCTTCTATTCGTCTCACAGCTTTTTCTGATTCAGACTGGGCTGGTTGCCCTGACACACGACAATCAGTAACTGGATTTTGTGTTTTCTTAGGTGACTCACTCATCAGTTGGCGGTCCAAAAAGCAGCAAACTGCCTCCCGCTCGTCCGCTGAAGCAGAGTACAGGGCACTCGCCGATACCTCCCAAGAACTCCAATGGATGACAACCCTCTTTCGCCAGCTTCCAGTTCAACCTCAACAGCCATACACGATCTACTGCGACAGCCTCTCTGCAGTCAAGATGACACAAAACCCTGTTCAACACGAACGAACCAAGCACATTGAAGTCGATTGTCACTTTACCAGAGACCAGGTTCTTGCAAACAAATTGAAGGTTCAACATATCTCCACTACCTTGCAGCTGGCCGATCCCTTCACCAAAGCGCTTCCTGTTCACACCTTCTTTGAATTGATTTCCAAGCTCAACCTGAAAACAATCCACGTTTAGATTGAGGGGGGGGTATCAAGGATACGAAGGGTCGATTTATAGTAAATTCAAATGTATAGGATTAATATTGTATATAGTTAGATAGAACATGTACTAATATGTAAATTAGTCAATCAGTTAGGACCCGTAACTATTTTTTCCTCCTTTTCTCTCTCTTCTCCTTCTCTGTAATCTAGGTATAAAACCGACTAACTCAGCTGGATAATGTACGTTTTCAGTTGATCAATCGAGAAATCAAGTTTCCTTAAGTAAACTAGCACACTCTTGCATCTCTCTCTAAAGAGGTCGCTCGCCAGTCGTCAGTCCTTAGAAAACAAAGAAACAAAGCAAATTGTCAGAGTGAGCCGTAACAAGTAAAAGCCCCCTTTTTTCCTTCCTTTTCAACAAAAGGACACCCTTCTTTCTCTTTCTTCTTCCTCTTTCTCCCTGCTTTCCGTCTTCTTCTTCTTCTGAACAAGGAAAGAGCCCTATGGGCTGCACCCTTTGACGTAAAAGATCTTAAAAAACAGAGCAATGGCTCAAGAGTAAGCCGGAAGGAGTGAATTCCCCTTCTTTCCTTCAACTTGAGGGGGTGTGATAAGGAGTGGAGTCCATTAAATCACATTCATTCACTTACTTCTCGTTCTTTCATTCATCTGTACATTCAAAATATAAATATTCGTTCAACTAACGGATACAGAAAAGCTAGATTGGCATATTCACCAAATTATCACACTATAGGCTTATATGCAAGGGCGCCTCTGATTTTGAGGCACAACTCTTCGGAGGTCCTGTGAAGTGAGCTTCAATGAGGATTAATTTTGCTTCCACCATAGCACCTGATTGACCGAAGCCCAGCAGTAATCGTAATCGTCCAAATCAGTAGAGTCCAATGCACACGAGAACTAGAAACCCAATCGATGACATCCTGCAGCCTCGAGTCTCCCAAGTTCGCCATTCGGATTGGATGTTGGAATTTTGGCCACCAATCGAACCCATTAGCAATTGGATGCAGGAATTCTGGCGCAAGTCGTGAATGCACGATGTTTTCTGTTGTTTCCCCGTGTTTCTCTGCGATCGTCCTCTGGATTTCCGTTCTTTTTCTCATTCTTTCTGGCTACTCGAGGAGTCAATTCAGCACAGGGTCAATATATCGCAAAAAGTCAATAAATCGCGTAAATATCGCGATATTTTACCATATCGCGATATCTCGTAATTTTCAATTTCTCGCGTTTCGATTTTGGTTGTGAGGAACCGAAATGTTTTGCGTTTCGCCCATTTCTGGCACCCGTTTTTTCACTTTGCTGGGGTTTCCCGTTTTCGCTGGCCATCCGCCTGCCTCCCACCCGAAACGCGGCCCGATTTCATTTTTTCTGGGCCTTGAATTAAAAGGAGAGGAAGCTTCTTGGGCCATAGTCTGACTGAAGCCCATGTTTTCCTGGCCGTCGGCCTACCTTCCGAGAAACGGCGTCGCATTTTCCAACATTAGGGCCTTCAATTAAATAGCGAGAACCATTTTGGTCCTTTCTCAAAACTGAAGCCCATCTTTACCAACCGTCACTTCTTCCCCGTTCCCCCCCCCCCCCCGGTCCATGATTTCTCGGCTTGGAAGCTTGGGCGGTGGTCGGCCGTTTCTGGATGCCGTTTCTTTTACTTTGTGGGGGTCTCCCGTTTTCGCCGGACTCCGCCTCATCCCACTCGAAACGCCGCCCAATTTCAGTTTTTTGGGCCTTCAATTAGAAAGAGAGGAAGGAAGCTTGGGCTCGGAGGACGAGGAGTGTGTTTTGTTCTTCTTCGCAGAGGAAAGAGAGAGAGGGAGGCCTGGCCTGGCCTGGCCAACCAACCAACCAATCATCCCTACACCCTACCTCCTTCCACCTATTCGCGAGCCGAGAGTTGTAGTCCAGACGACGAGTGAGGTGGATATCCTCGATGAAGTATGGGCAGAAGGTTGTGAAAGGAAATCGTAATCCAAGGTATGTTTGCTCAACCATTTCCCTGTTCTTCTGAATTCATATTGTTTCTGTTCTTGCATGAAAACCAGGTCATTAATGAATGGTCGTCACCAAGGCACCACAGGCTCACAACAACATTAGCCGAGGTGGATTCAATAGTAGAGAGACAGTTGACCCATATGGATCTTTCAGCTTGCGTGGAAGGCAACATCAGCAGCAGCAGCAGCAGCATGGGTTCTCGTTCGGAATGGGCCAACCTGAGGATGATGATGCCATCGTCAGTTCATCATCCTTACTTAGCAGCAGCTCAGCAGCAAAGGCCGTTTAGTGAGATGGGGTTCATGTTGTTGTTACCAAAGGGAGAGCCGAATCAGCAGATAGGAGACTTGCTTTAGTGGCTGTTGCCATCTTGTGGGTCGATTTCATTGGCCTGCAAATATATAATCAGTCATTAGTTTATGAAGTTCACGTGTTAACAAAAGATGAAGAAGGATCTCTTGTATTTCTAACAAATTTGTTCAGAGGTGTTACTTTGTTGTTACACAGGAAAGCTGGTTTCCATTGCAACAATTAAAATAAAGGTTGATCTGCCACACAAAACACTCATTCGAAGTAAAAATTAAGTTGTTCATTTGTAGTATCTTGCATTTCTAATGGATATAGAGTTTTTGCAATGTAATCCGAAAAATCATTTTCATGAATAGTAAGACTCTAGAATCGACAATGACCCATTTGAACATGAATGATATCATGCATTTTAGTTTACTGTATTATTAAAATTTGTGATACCCAGAGAATGTGATGCATGTCATTCCTCATATGACTTTGTGCGAAGAAGAGGCTTGGAGATGAGTAATAGTTGAGGCTTGAAGAAGACTCAATAAAAACAGTTGGCTTAGTGTGGGAACCAACTATGAGAAACAGTTGTAGCAAAATGAGTTTATTCTAATTACTTGAAAATGGAGGTGCTTTCAGTATCATAGCATTTCACAATATAAAAAAGACAATTTTTATGGCTGAAGAGAGATGACTACGACAGATATAAACACATGTTGACACTCAATTCAATTATATTAATGAACTTACTATGAGGTCGAGAAACCGCAACAAACGTTCGGAGTTTTGACTGTGAAGGGTCATCAGACACCATCACTCTCTTTCCTTATCTGTCCATTTGAGACTGCAAATGAATATACCTTCAAACCAACAGCCGAACCTGCAAACTAAAGCTGGATACTGGTTCGCTCCTATGCAAGGTAGTTAGATCGCCCATAATCATGCATTACTAAATTATACTGATCGAATCCTCCTTTGACATCACTGCAAAGTCACACAAACAATTGAAATTCGACATCTTTAGCAAGTCATATCAACAAACTTGAAAGCTGAAGTGTGAATTAACATACTTACGAAAGGAATGTTTTTTCTCTTCTGCAGATCTCATGTTCCATAATTAGAGTGAGAAGAGCACATCCTTATAAAGAAAAGTTCACTTCTGTCAGAATGAGATCCATGTTATGGGACCTCACTTTTAGCAACTCCCATGCCAACCGCCAAAATTGTTCAAAAGAAACCAAAAGAAGCTTTCAGCATTAAGAAGTGGATCACAACAAACCAAGTTATATAATTTGATTGTGATGACCAATTATAGTTTCCGCAATTCAGTGTTTGCTTTAGCTGCTTCACCATAGTTGCAGCTAAGCTGCTAAAATTATAACTTGCTCTTAGCCATTAATTCCTCTTAAATGTTGTTCTCCACAAACTAAGATTTACCCCAATCTCCATTGTAATTCTTTCTATATTAGCTGCAGATTATAGAAGCCGGCAATTCAGAACAGATTGCTCGAATGGATTTAACTATTTAAGATCCTTTGATCAACATAGCCTACAATAACAGTTATCATATGATGAGAGAAGTCTTGTAAGATTGCAGTTTTTCAAGAGGGAGAAGTCCTCTGAAGGCGAATAATCATTGTGAGAAGTAATTATACCCTGGGTCATGAAAGCTAGAAGTGTTTATATCGCAACGAATATTAAGAGAAGCATCAAAAAACAAAAAGGAACCCTGAATTTCCATGACAGTCCTGAAACGTCCTTCCTCCCTCTAAGCAACACAGAACACTTAATACAAAATCCAAAGCCTAGAAATACTAAGGATAGGGGAAAGAAAATCCCTCGAATTACGCAAATTATCAGTACTAGAATCAAAAGTAGCGATTGTAACTATCAGAAGCCAAATAGAGTGCTCAAACATCAGTCTTTCTCCCTCTCAGCAAATCAGAACCCAAACTATTGAAATTACCTGCGGATATACAGAGGGGTCGAGAATGGGACGATTGCGACGTCGGTGGTATTCAGAAGACGACCGGTTGTGGAGGAATATGTGGTCTTCCGATGACAGGCCATCTCCATGGCAGTGGAGGGATTTTGGGTACATTCACATAAACAAATTGACGAAAGAAAAGGGAACATCTGAAATGTTCTTCAGACCGAGAAAGGGAAGAAAAATGAAAACCTGTCGTTTGAGGAAGCAGAGTGGAAATCTGGGGAGGAACAGGAGGTGGGTAAGAGGCAGAAGGCATACATGGTCAGCGTGGAGACACGAAACGTTGTTGATTTGGAATGAGGGAAACTGCTGGGGTTGGGCCGAGGGGGAAATTGGGGAGGAGGCGAGGAGCCCTGGTTTTTTTGCTTAAGAGAAAACTTCCGAGGAATTGCCGAGACGGGAAGGGAAGTTGCGTTTGGATTGTGTGACCGGCGGGAGGAGTAGACATCGGCTGCAAATTGGGAAAACGGGGACCAAAAATGAAAAATGACAGCGGCGGAACGGGGAAGACGTTTCGTTGGAATTGGGAAGGCCGGAATGGACAGAAGAGAGAAGGAATTCTGATGGGTAGGGAGGAGAGATAAGATGGTGACGTGGCAGCATGAGTGGTAGTGAAATTTGAATTTCTGAACTGCAGTTTGGGAAAACGCTTATATGTATCTTTAGACTTTAGATTGCCTTCGCCTTTCGTTTATAGTCGCGGTCTTCCGTTCGTGGTCCCTGAGCACTTGTTAGCAAATTCTACCTTGTTAATTCACAAATACAATCTCGAAATCTACTCCAGATGTTGCTCTACCTTGATATTTCCAATCAACGTAGTCAAAAGCGAGTTTCTACGTAGAAACGTTTTGGTGATCTAGAATCATAAAATCGTAAATTTTTAAATTTTAAAACGGAGTTTTTAAGTACATAAGTTATAAAAACTGAGATTTTGTGCAGAAGCGTTTTCGTGACCTAGAAACGTAAAATCGTAAGTTTCTAAGTTTTAAAACGCGATTTTGACCAGATTGTTTCCAATGTCAAACAATATCTCCCTTTGCTCAATTAATCTTTATGAATGATGAGTGTCGCCGTAAATTATCCAATTTGGAAAGGCCATTCCAAAACTAAAAGGTAACTGGGACTCGAGGTTATTTCATGTTAAACATGCTAATTACAATCCCTACAAAAACAAATTTGATTCGAGGCCTATCACTTGTCCTGGTATGTCTCATGATACCAGTTTGCTACTCTGCCTTGTTCTTCTGAAGCGAAAAGCCAGACTCTCCCTTCACATGCCTTGCAGAATCCTTTCTGATTTCGTTTCCCTCAATATTGTGGTGATCTTCAACGGCAAACCTTTTATCCACACTTCTTGACAATTTGAGTGAAGGAGCACTCCCCTCACCAGCATTAGGAGTGTTTCCAAGCAAGCTTTTGTACACAGTCAGAGCTTGGGCGATCATGCTGGCAGGATTAGCAGTCGATGAAGGAAGCAACATTGTAGTCCCCTGAAAAGGATTCATTGCAAAATGGTAAACGAAATGTAAACTAAATCACATAACATGAAACCTGAATTCACTCAATTCTTTACCTCCTTGGCAATATTGCCGAAGGCATGGATATATTGTTCAGCAACTTTCAGACTTGCTGCCTGCAAGCACACCATGATGTTAATAATGATTTAATGGGCCCATTTGTCCTATTGTGCTTAGGGATAAGTGGATCTGATGAATAACTAGTAGGGAAAACAAAAAACACTCTGCTACTAGGGCATTTAAGGGATTCAGAGGCTCACCTCTACTCCACCATTCTCCTTGAGGGTTTTCGACACGAGAGTGATTCCTTTGGCTGTAGCATCAGCTTTAGCAAGGATGGCTTGTGCTTCACCTAATAGTGACATACTTGCAGGTTAGATGGGATGCAAATGCAAGTATTGGATGCTAAGTTATATCCTTGCTTAATCATTATAAACAGTGCTGAGAGACTGAAATCTGTAAGCTATAGAAAACAGATAACTAGCTATACAGACATGGAAAATTAAGAGAAAAGAAACTTAAGTTTTACCAATGGAATCCCCGAGGACACTTAAAAGAAAGGCTATAGAAGGGACAGTCCACCGACATTTATGAAGCATGGTTTGAATTCATTCATGTAGAACATAACTGCATAAGAGTATAACTTACCTTCTGCTGACAATATAGCAGCAAGTTTTCTTCCATCAGCAATATTAATGTTTGCCTGTCTCTCTCCTGTTACAATGAGATTGAGAAAAATAAAGAACAAAGAGAAGTGAAGGTTTCACGAGCTGAGCAATGAGTATACTAGTCTGTAATTTAGTTATGCTAGTTGGTTAAGGTACCCTGTGGACTGAAAAATGAAAGCGCACTGTATTACCTTCAGACTCGAGAACTTGGGCCCTCTTTTTACGTTCTGCTTCTGCCTGCATCTCCATGGCTACTCTTACTCCACGTGGTGGATTAATATCCCCTACAGAAGAAAAATCCCAGTTAGCAGTATAGTATAGGTCTAAATGAAAGTGCAGACATAATATTAAAGGGTTCGCAGTAATGACTCACGTATTTCATATCGAAGGCATTGGAGACCCCAGTCACTTGCAGCAACATTAATGGCCTCCTGAAATAGTTTTACAAATTAATATGTGATTATGTATATCTATATATATATATATGAAAAAAGATGAAACATAGTAAGAGAGTTTGAGATGTTTCAGCCCGTAGAGAAAAGTGAATAGGGACAATATACCACAATTTTCTCATTGAGAGTGTCTCGTTCCTCAAAGGTCTTATCAAGGGTAATTTTTCCAAGCTCGCTACGCATGGTGGTCTGTGCCAACTGAATAACAGCATAGATTGGATTCTCAACTCCATAAGAGGCCAACTTAGGATCAACAATCTGTAAACAGTAGTTAGTAGCTATTAACATAATTCTGACCAGCTCATACCTAACTAGACAAGAAATGAAGCAAAAATGAAACGAAGAAAGAAATAAACCTTGACGTAGAGAACGCCATCAATGAGAATGCTGACATTGTCCTTGGTGATAGCGGACTGATCAGGAATCGGAATGGCCTCTTCCTTTAAGGAATGGACATAAGCAATTCGATCCACAAAAGGGATCAAGAAGTGAAGTCCAGATGGAAGTGTCTTCACGTACTTGCCAAATCGCTCTATCACATATGCCTTCTTCTCTGGCACAATCCGGATCCCCCAGTTCATCGGTGGGGCTATATCATAACTGACCAAGTACAGGAAAGCTTTCTATTTATTTCCAATTAGAGGTAAAAAGGGGGGAAAATGGAAATGGAATATAAGTAGATACCCAGTGCTGGCATCACGGATAGAGCGGATATGGCGAACCGGGACAATGGAGAAGGGGGATGATAGAGAGCTCCGTAGTGTGGGAAGGGAAGAGTGGCGGCCATGGGAGATGGAGATGGGGGCAGAAGAAGTTGAAATTGGAGCTGTAATGGTAAAGAGGGTCAGGAGTTTAGGTGGGTCAGGCAGCACTGCCGCTGCTTGCTGCCTGAATCGAAAGGTTTGCTTCACAAGCCGACTGCTGCTACTTCTCCACATTCTTCCTATACTCTGCAAAATTTTCAGATTAAGGGATACGAGTGCAAAGGATCAGAAATAAAATTTGGAAACCATCATTTAAGACAAACAGAGTTGGAGTTCCTGAATTGAAAGGGTCGGCTTCACAAACAGAATCTCAGACACGAAGTTCAATACCGATTGAAAGAACCAACAGAGAATAAAAGCAAAACTAATGAGGTCCCGGCCAATCTACTCCAACATCAATGCTCAATCTGATAATTGAAACACAGTTAAACCCTTAGTTAGTTGGATTAATTCGCTGAGAAATGACAGGATTAACACCGACAACAAAATAGCTAAAACCAATCCCTAGCTAGGTACAGTTCTGGATCATCCCTCAGATACGAAACTCAAGGTACCAAAATCAAAGACGTTCTAGCAGAAACGCCAAGGTTTCTGATCTTCCATCAACCAATCACCAAAACGAGCCTAGTAAACATCCTCCGGCTCCTAAGTTCGACAGAGAGACTCTGAGAAAGTATCAAAATGTCTAGCACACGGAAGCAGCTCGACTCTTCTAATCGACCGAATCAACACACAGTTTGTGGGCCTCATTTCGATATTAGCCAGTTCCCAGACATGGAATCATTCATGGTGAGGAAAGAGTAGAAAAAACGATACCAGAGATCAATCGATCAAACCAGGCAGGCAACAATGAAAACGGCGGCGACGGAAGAGTAGGAGAATGAACTCACTCTCCGGATGTCTGCTTCTCCTCAGGCAACCAATTGAAGAACCTCGTCTTCTATCGCAGAAGCTAAACCCGCGATCTCTTCATTAAGATTTGATTTCTGTAAAACCCATACAAAACCTTCTTTCATACAGAAGAATTTCCGCCTTACCCAACAAAGAAGTACAACCTCCAGAGTCCAGTCCGCAGGTCACAGCCAAATCCACATTTGCGTGCCTGAAATTTCTCTGACTTTTATTTTAGTCCTAGAAATTTTAGCCTCTCTTGTCTTATACGTGCGGTATTTTTTTAAATATATAATATAATAATCAAACCTTCCCTATAGGGATTGCTATTCGTCGCCCTTACTCTCTACTATCTAGTATCTACACATAAGGGAACTAGTGTTGTATCCGGCCCGTTGGCCGGTTTTGTGGTCATTTGGGTATTTTTTTAGTTAAACGTAGGTGGTTCGATTTTTAGTATTGTGCACTGGTAGTACAAAAGCGTTTTTTGATAGTTTATGCTTTTTAGTGCCCGTTAACTTTATAATTTTATTGAATTTGTATTTCATTTTATACTTAACTATAAGAAGTTTAAGTTAGATAACGAATGAAATGAAAAGCTATCTGGAATTATATTCATGCCTTGAGATATTAAACATCACAGAATAAAAAAAAATCAACAAAAATCTCTATCTTCGTTATATATGAATAATTAGATTGCAAATGAAGCTTTGAAAAATTTATTACTATTTTAATTTCAATATTGTTGATTGTCATCTATTGAATTAAAAAGGAAATAATGTACATAATATTACGATAGATGTATTACATTTAAATAGTTTAAAGATACAAAAATTCAAGGAGAAAAAAATGTGATATGAAAATAGATTATTTGGACAATAATGTAAAGAAATCCAAAAATATTAGTATAGATGTATTAAATTTATATTTTCGAAAGACACAAAAATGAAAAATATTAGCAAAAGAATATTTTGACTTGAAATGGTCTTTATAAGTTATTCAATCATTTAAACTTTAGTTATCATAATTCAAACTTAACCTTTAACAATATGCTCATATTTTTAAATATTTATTGACTATATCCTATATTTTCAAAAGTGGAGCGGTTGTCGAATGGAAAATTTTAATGACTCATGATTAATGGTTTATCATTATACAACTATTTCTATTGGACCATATTTTCCGTTTAGTTATTTTCTAATAAAACCTATCTCGAGTTTAAGCAATTACATGGAGTAAAAAAATTGATATGTTTTTGTTTGATCTAATTCGACACAAATACCGAGTCGATACGATATGGATGGAATTATTGTTTAACCTATGACTAAACATGCGATCTTACCTTTCAAAATTTAATGTAAAAATTAGACATGCTAATTTGAAAAATAAAATAATTAAAAACAACATAGATTGATTGTATTTTGCCAAGATTTCACGTTTTTCTTCTTCTTCATGTTTGCCGAAATCACTGTGAGATTAAGATTCTAAAACTTTTGAAGGTTGATACTTGGTTTATCTGTTTAACATAAAACCCTAATGGGAAAAAGCCTATTTTGAAGGAACCTCTTCCCAAACATCCACACCACAATGATATATCATCTTTATCATCTCAAAATTCAATTCGCAAGCATGATCTCATTTAGGAGTTAAACAACTTTAGATAGCCTCTATTTTTTCATTAACCACACAAAATAAATCTACACATAGCAAAATTCAAATAATTATTATGTAGCATTTACCTTAAAACAAATCTTCTTTTCCATTAATCCTAATCGCATTTACTAAAAAGAAAACCAAAAGTCTAATAATAATGAGTACCCTTGAGTGTTTGAAAAATTGTCAAAGTTGTCCTTCCACCAAATAAGGAGAACCAATCAAAGTGCAAGGTGGCAACAATGACATAGAGTGAAGTGCATAATATATTGTGTAGATAGATGTGTGAAAAAAAATTATGACACGTCAGCCTTGGCTCTGCAGTGCACACAGTTCGGAAGCCCTTTTCCGTCATTTTACTTTGGCTTCATAGTCCGCATATTTACGAAGGAGTAAGACTATTTCCCATTTCTTTATTCATTTAATGATGTTTTTTAATAATAAAACATTGATTCCTTGGCGAGAGGTTAGTGGGAGAAATTGATAGGGAGAGATGTTAGGGACAATTGTTCGTGATAAAGGGATGGACGGAATCACGGAAGTTATATAAATAATAGAGGTAAACATCTAAATAAACGAAACAAAAATATTTTTATCGGAGAAATCAAAATAAGAAATACTATTTTTTTTTGCAATCTGTTTCTTAATTTTTAAAAGAATTTGAATCAAAAGTAAGATAAACAATCACCTGTTTAACCTTTTATAATTACTATTCATACTAATTTACACAAACTATTTGAACTTTTTCTGCCAAATAATTATTTGAATTCAAGTCATCCCCTAATAAAATTTTGTCATCAAGACGGTCATTACTCATTTGCTGATCAAATTTCATTAATAAGATCATATCCATTATATTTAATAAAAATAGATTATCTCCATTATAGTTATTTTTCGTAAACCTCTCCACTATTTGTCAATGATATTATCTATATAAATAAATAAATAATTATTAGAGCACTCAAACGATTTTTATCATATTTTTTGTTTTTCTTTATACGTATACATAGACTCGGAATAAAAAAGGCTTGAATTAAGAGAAACTCTTTGTAACGAGGTCATAACATAACAATTACATTTTATTAGATAATATTGGTCAATGTCGGATAAATTTTGATTTACTCATATTGAAACATAAGTAATTATTAGCATTTTATTGGGTGCACCATCCTTGATTAATATTTTAGGACCTTAGAGAAAAATCATGAATTCAAAAGTAAAAAGATTGATATTGAGTATGAGAAATCCAATTTCATATTCAAATATTTAAATGATTTGTAAGAAAATCAAAGAGAGAGTAGATCAACTGAAGAAAGTAATACAATTAAATTTGTTGAGTGGCAATACTAAACATATTAGGGTAATTAAAATTATCCCGGCCAATAGGCAGGGCACCAACTAGTACTTATAATACGCCGAAGGGAAAAACAGATTCCTCATTTCAAATTTCCTGCAACGAGAGTGAAAGTAGGAAGGACATTTTGGTCTTCACAATAACTTTTTTTTATTCATTAAAAATACATGTACTGGGATTCGAACCATGACCATTTTATAGAAAAGCTAGGATCATAACCAATCACACTAAGTATATTTGTTGTATCTTTTTAAATTAAAATAGCAGGGAGGAAAAAACTCTTCCCCCATTTCAAATTCTCTGCTCCAGGAGCGTTTGTAGGAAGGGTAGAATATGGAGTGTCAATTTTTTTCTCTTTCCTCTTTGGAACGGGCCAACTTACCGTACACATGCGGATTTAAATGGGTCCAAGAGTGTCAATTTTTTTTCTGCAAGCTCTTTTATTTCTCCGTGGTGATAAAATATATATGAAAAGGCAAAAATAATACTCCTTTTTATTGTTAAAAATAAAATTTTTAAACATAAACTAATGAATGGTATCTAATGGCTAACCGCTAACCATAAAATAAAAGAGTTGAATGGGTCTGACCTACACGGGATTTGGCCATCAAGTAAAACAAATGAACGTCATTGGTTTGTCATTCTAAAACAAGCTATTTTCTCTGTCATAATATATATTATGCTATTATTTTATATCTTAGTGGCTAAAATATAATGTATTTTAAAGTTATTCAATGGTTCAACCTTGACCAACCCAATTAGTCCAATTTTTATCATTTCAAATATATATTATATAACTATTTGATATCATAATGATCAAATTATAGTGTATTTTATAGGGAATCGTTTGATATTTGTTAGTAAAAAACTAAACAGAAAGATCTATTTGGTTATTTTAAACATTAAAACGATCCTAAACATTTTCAGTTCCTTTTGAATTTCTATGATTTTATTCCCGAATAAGTGATGTGCAAATGGCGAATTGCAGTCATCTCTTTTCTTTCACTATTTTTTATTTTCAAATAGAAAGTTTAAAATTAAAGAATAATTAGGATTTGGCATGGGTCGGTCAAACGGGCTGAATTTCAAGTTTTGGCCCGTTTGTTTTATGCATTGCAAATTTATTAGCATGTTGATGGAAATGGCTTGGAAAAAAGACATATAGGTTGTACCTTTGCAGAAATGTCCTCAAATGTTTGAATGCTTTGCGAATCAGGTTCCGTGACTTTTGTGATGGTGTATGTGCTTGACGATTGCTCGATGTTGTAACTACTTAATTTGAGAGTACATCTTTTGATTTTCCCTATGAGTTGTGATACCAGTTCTGGTGGTTGCAGCATGTTGTCGTTGTTGGCCTGTAAAATTTGTTCCGTCTTGATGCTAAATACCTTTCTTTCTTTTTTAACAAATTGTGTAGTAGTGCTATGAAACAGACCACCCATGAACGCTACGCTTATTATGGTCTGTTCTTACTTCCGGTGGTGAGAAATTGTGAATTGAGAATCATATTCGCCTACCGCACTATGTCTGGCTGGTGGCTGCTTACTGTGCTCTCTAGAGTTATGAAACAAACTACCCATGAACGTTACCCTTAAGAGTCTATAACTTTGAGAAAAACCATATTTAGGCAATCAAAGGTGGTGGATGTGTGATGATTTTTTATGGCTTAATTGTTTGTGAATTGGATATCTGATCTTTGTATGATTAGAGGGGATGTTTGCTTAATAGAATAATCCATTTTTATTCATTTTTATTTTTAACATGAACTTTAGTAACTCAAAACCTTCGAGACACATATCACCTACTGCATTGTATCATTTTGCCTGGGTGCTTGCTGTGTTGTCAAACTTCTTTGCTGCTGCTGCATTTACACTAACAAGGGAGTTAAGAACCCATGAATGTTTCCGTTTGACACAAACAGGAGGACTTGCTTCTAAATCGTGCACTAAAGATGATTGGAGGAAACATCTCTGTTGCAGTCGATATACTGGAGACCAGAACAAAAGCAACGTATAACATCAAAACCAACCATCTGAACTATTGGCATTGTTGCTTTACTCTTTTTTCCTGGTTGAGTCTCCTTCAAAAAATTTAGTTTGATTTTAGAAAATTTTGCTTCTGCAGTCCTGTCTTGCCACCAACGCGTTCAGTAGATGGAGATGGCAGAGGCGAAGGCTATTTTTGTGTTGTTGTTGCTGGTTTAGGGATCGGTTTGTGAAGAAGAGGGAGAAGAGAGGGGGAAAGGGAAATGC